GAGAGAGAGAGAGAGAGAGAGAGAGAGAGAGAGAGAGAGAGTGGCTGACCTCACGCTGCTTCCATCGATAGAATGAATATATACACCCGCGCCAACATACGTTCTGCCCGTAGAGAGACGCAATGCGCCACGGAAATTCTTTCCGCCCCGCCCCACCCTTCCCCAGCCTCGCGTCGGTTCGCACCCTGCACAAATTCTTTCCGCCTCCCCCCCGCCCTTTCCCTGCGTCGCCAATCGTCGCCCCCCACCTCGATCGTGCGCACCCGGACACGCTCGGTCCCAGCCTCTCCCTCCCTTGGGCGCCCTGCCGGGACTATGTGGCCCTGAATCAAATTTTGTTGGGCCCGCGTGCGCCTATTACAATGGGACCGTTGTAATTTTAAAGAGTATAAAGATAAATAGAACACACAAAAACACTGTGATTGCTGTGAGCTTCTTGTGCACTTCTGTAATGTATATGAAGTTTTATGAACTAAAACAAGTAGTAAACAAATAAAAATAGGTATTATAGTACCATTAAAGAAAGGATCACCAGTGGAAACTTCTCTTTGAGCTAATAGATGAAAAAGCACAGGTGCCGCGGTACTACAGAGAACAACCAAACAAATTATACAAAGGAGCGTTAGCTGTAGTTTGAGAATCTGTTCGATTTCAGCTGCTCTCCGATCGCCACCGGATCTTCGCAGCGAGCCTTTTTGTCCGCAACCTGCAGCGGTTGCCCAAGGTCCTGTGCTATGATGAAGGGTTGAAGAGAAAGTACTTGGTTAAAACGATCAATCGGGTAAACCACATGCCAAATTGGTCTGGGTGAACTTGAGAAGGAATACCAAAAACGAAGGGCGAGCTGCATGACGGGAAACCATCAAGTGTGGAAGCGGCCCAGATAAGGCTTCCGCCCCAGATAAACTACCCATCGAAGCCGTTCTTTGACTTTCGCATGCTGCTTTCAAGCATAATTCGCATGTCAGGGGTTCGAATCCCTTGGTGAACCATTCGAATCTCTTTTCGAATAGGGCAGAGGGCTCGTAGTACCTTTGTTTACAGCAGCAGCCTATAATAGAGGCTCCCATGTCCCAAGACAAAAAAACAGAAACTTTTCTTTCTAGCACAGTCAGGCAGGCTTTGACCATTACGCTCTACAACTGCGCAAAAAATGGTTGGATTTGGCCGACGGCGTATTATCTTGTTCAACTTGCTCGATTGATAAAAACTTCTGTAAACACGAAGGCATAATCCCTGCTTTTGAGGACATTGATTTAAAGCTCGATTACGCTGCATACATTGTTTGGATTCTCAAAGTTCAAAAGAAGCACACTGAAGAAATTTGGTCCACAGTTTCAATGTGCTGAGACGGGCGTGGTCCTATATAAACCTACTAGTTTATCGATAACATTATCGAATGATGATTCGTGGCAGAGATCCTTCAATATACAATTGTGCACCATGAAAGGTACCCATTGTAACATTAAGGGCCGTGTGAGCACTACGTCCTGGTCAAATTAAATTAAAGACTTCCAAATAATAACCAAATCGCCCCTTGGTAGAGGCTCCGCCGCAGCTCTGACTCTTGCGAGCCTCCATCACGTATACAGACGATTTATTTTTATAATTAAATTTCAGCAGATTACGGAATACATACGTATATGACCTTTCCCAGAGAAGGATGAGTTTGTGAGTGAAGTGAGACCCGTATTGTATTCAAGTCTATATACAATACAAATACAATACATACTCCAATTGGCATCTATCTATAGATAGTAAGCCATCGTAGTGTGATCGATATATATCTCGTCGATACAACGTATGTGGGACGAAATGTATGTGATCCATATATGCGACAATCCGCCCGAAAGTGAGGCGTGACAGAAGAGGTGAGTCAAAGAAACACACCTGTGGCCGAAAAACGCTTAAAGATAAGGTTAGATGCTATGCGGACTGTCCAGCAGACAGTACAAATAAATATTCTTTGAACATAATCATCTGCGATTCCACTTCGCTGACCTCTGTGTCGTCATCCTGACACTTACGACCATGGTAGGGCTAAGGGAGGACTTTCAGTGGACATCAAAAGCCCCGATGTCTTCCGCCACCGTCAACATCGTGCAGATGCACCGAGGACATTGTTCAGCATTTGCCGTTGGCAAACATCACAGTCACAGAACCATGAGAAGTGGCCATGACCTTCAAGCGTATGCAATTGTACAGCTGGCAATGTCCGCTTTATATATGCACTGTAATCATATGGGACATGCCGATCATCTGTCCCGTGAAAGACGTGCACTGGGAACGTGTGGCCAGAACTCTCTTGCATCTCCGAAGCCTTGCGGCCTGCATCTTGTAAAACCCTCACCTCTCCTGTCTCCACTTGCCAGTGGGGAGCACACTGCCTTCCAACTCTATCTTGATCGTGATCATCCTTGTCCACCACTTCGTCCTGATGAAGAGGAACTTCAACATGGTTTGAGTGAGGACAGAAGGAAAGGGAGGAGGAGGAGCATGATGATGGAGATGATTGAGGCAATCCCATTTTCTTGTCTGCTGTTTGCATATCAGCGTCTGCTTTTGAGAGGATTGGAGTGGAGACACAGAGAACTCGAGTGATGGATGAGTTAAGTGTCTCAAGGCTGAAGCCCCAGTCTCTTGAGTAAAGGATGAGCTCCTCCGCGATGGGGCGCACACTGTTTTGCTGCACTGCCTCCCGCAGATCGGTGAGGATATTATCAGCATTTGCATCTATGAAGATCCTGTCCAGGTGACCCACTCGCTGCCTCAAACTATCAATTGCCAATCGCAAAAAATTGGGCATCACAAACCAATCAAGCGCAGGCGCAACCGCCCACGGCACACGGCGCGACATCCATAATAGCACCCTCTTGTTCAGCAGAAGTGTCTTCCTAATGTTCCTCAGTTCCTCGGGAGAGAAGTTCGGCCAGAAGGGGTTTCCCATGGGAGCGCAGAGGACTAACCCCGCGATGCGGTGCGGTATGAACCGTGCCGCGGCCCATGCATGGGGTCCTCCACCTGAATAGCTGAGAATCCAGAACTTGTCTCCAAGCTCCAGAGCATCAGCTAACGCAGCCATGTCTTCCGCTCCTGTCCTGAGTGTTCTTTGTGGTTGGGGGTCACTTTGTCCGAATCCTGGGCGGTCATAACTGATCATGCGGATATGGAACTCCTCCAGCAATCCAGCCTTGACTCCCGGCATGCCTGCAAGCCTTGATGACACAAGCCCATGAACAACTACAAAGTGAAACAGCGCCCGAGCCTTGGGAACTCCCCACTCCTTGTAGGCGATCCGTCTCCCATCTTGAAGTGTCACATGCAGGGCTGGCATCAGTGGTTCAGCAATGCCAGAGCCATTTGTGCTTGTAGGTGGAACAGGATACAGGATCTGCAGGATGATGGCTCGAAGAGCAATCAAAACCAGCAGACATATTCCGCATCTCACAACTGCAGTCGGCAGGGTCTGATTCCGTCCCTTGTGATCAGCCCCTGAGCTTCCCTCACTCTCTGACCTCAAAGTCACGGCAGCACTATGATGGCAAAGATTCCCTCCAACTCTGGCCATGACTCCTGAGGAGAATGATGCCACGGCAGTTGATGACATCAGGAACCTGCAGTCAGTCCTGGTAGCTATACTGGGCTGAGGGAAAACAACTTCTGTTCTTAGATTAGCTGTAATGGGCTGACTCGGCTGAGGGCAAACGGTTTCTGTTCCTAGCTCATCAGGTCAAGACTCACTGCCTCCTCTACTGAGCACATAACGTCAATCTAATTCATCCGGCAGAAGCAAGAGCTCATAATGTGTTTCATATTCTTCCATTACCCCGTGTCAAGCATGCATGTCATGTGTCCTTACTCCACTGGGATGGGACGGTTCTCAGCCGATTCCCCTCTCTGCGCCGTCTCCAGATTCTTCACCAACTGCGTCAGAAGGTAAGGTCAACAGCAAGACAAAGCCTGATACAAATTTTGAAATTTCATGAGAAAGAAACGTTGCCGACAACCTCTAAAAACAAAATAACAGTTAGTCAAATCCTTGCCAGGCTCACTCAGCCTGTGTGGCCGAATGGTACGGAGTAATACACACATGTACCTGTTGATGAACAGACTGAGTTCGAACATTGATGGAAGCAGATTGGCAATATTATCCATAGTTTGCTTACCTTAATTTTTCAGAGCATAATCCGGAATCCATGTGTCTGGAGAAAGCACTGGTGTCGCATACTCT